AAAGGAGGGAAGATGCTTCCCATCTTCATAGATCTCACATTTCTATTTTTCGTCCCCGAGTTTTAACTTTATTGGACTGACGGATCGGGCCGGCAGCTTGGTCCGCAATCAAGTTTCCTGCTGAGTGCAGGCGAATACACTATCCGAAGGATTATTTGCAAAAATGGGCACCTCGTTCCGTCAGCGCTCGACGCGATCATGTCATAAAATGACGTCATCCTCGGGCACACAGCAGCATTGGAACGCAGTGAACTAAGAGAACACGACAGGCCCACACGAACTTAACGTCATGGGAAAACTGGATGGGTCAGCAGCACCGCTTAGAAAGAGGATGAACCCAGAGACCCCGAGTTCTAAACTCAGAGGCATAAGTGGGCTGTGGGTTGGCGCGATCGGCCCGACACGACCAAAAGGGGGGGGGGGGGGGATCCGTAAAGTTCCGTCCGGCGATTGAGTTTTGGGTCCGGTAGGACCACGATTTGAATCGGACCGATCGGGTTGGTTTCGGAAAAGTTCACCCGCACAAGCCTCACGCAGACAGACAGGAAGACGTAACTTGTGAAATATTCACGCCTGATTGTGGCAAATGGAATTCAGTCGGATAGCATTCAAATGAGGCATTTCGCAGGATTTTTTGAACCGCCAAATTTGGGGTCGTTGATAAAGAGATGGAGTATGTGAGATTCTTCCGTCATCAGAGGCCCCCAATTGACTTTGAACCCAAATTAACCCCAACCCCAGGGCCTATAAATAAATTATTCAGCGAGATCCTCCCGACGGAGTGAGACTCGTCTCACTCGAATGCTGATGATTTTGAGCTCCGCAGGGAATGGGGATCAGATCTATCAGCCAGACCCGACCGGCGGATCGGTTGGCAATCAAGTTTCATGTTGGGTGCTGGCGAATACGCTAGAATACACTCAGATGAATCTTTTTCTCGAGCCGTTTACAGCTGCTGGCAATTAGGACGCCTCGTTCCGTCAGAGCTCGATGCGATCACGTCATTAAATGACGTCAGTCGCGGGCAAGGAACTACTAGTGGAACGTAATGAACTATGAGAGCACCGAACAGGCCAGCACCAATTTGACGTCATGGGACGTCAGGTGGAAGCCTCAGCACAGCCGGTAGAGCCACTCAGAAAAAAGACGAACCTTGAGAACCGGAGTTCTGAAGTTTAGAGGCCTAAGCGGGCTGCGGACCCGCTCGATCGGCCCGACCAGACCAGAGGGTAGGACCCATTAAAATCTCGGTTCGACGATCGAATTTCGGGTCGAGTAGAAGGACCACGACTCGAATCGGGCAGATCGGGTCGGATTCGGAAGAGTCGACCCGTGCAGGCCTCCAACGGACAGAGAGGAGTACCTCGGCTATTATTATATAGATTTATCTAATGGTACCTATGGCGTCAGCTGGATGCGATAGGGAGTGTCTCATGGTGTTCTTCTTTCCCAACTGTTTATTTACTTTTGAGTGCTGCATGTAATCTATGGAGGCTTCGTTTTGGGATATTCTCCCCTCGTAAAATAAATTTGAAGGCTCATTCAGATCCTTGAGAGTGAACTTCCCTCCCAACCATCGCTTTCTGTTTTCCTTCATATTTTCCCATCACTTTAGGTAGAATGAATTTCCTGAGCGACTGGCAACAGAAGTACTTACAATTCATGAAATGAAGAGTGAGGAAAACAATCTCATTGGACAGAAGACCAGTGAAAATCTACTTGTGTATACAGTTTTCAACGAGTCCAGCAATCAATTTGACTTCTGTCAAAACACGCAACGTGAAGTGTGCATCGACCATGATTGAGAGCGTCTGGGGTGATGATTTTAACAGTTAACAGCCCCTACTTTAACATTATTTGTTGCAAATTTAAGTCTCTTGTTCATTCCAACAAAATACAGACATAGGAGCAACAATGCTGTTACTGGCTCTGGGGTTCGCCACAATGTTGTTGCTGCAATGCAGGCCATTTTTTTAAATTAATATATTTGAAGTGTTGCCAAAGTCCTTTGTGAAGGGTATTGAGGATTGCAAACAATAATAATTAATCATAAGTTTTTTGATGAATTGAATAATTTTGTTCCCCTCAACATTTCGTACCTCACTTATCACTTAAATAAATTGCCACAACTTTTGAAGCGAATTACTTTGGCCTCCCTATACAGTCCTGTGAGATAAAAAAAATTATGGAATTCGTTGAAAAGTGTTCGCCCCTCATTCGATCCCTTTCAGCTTTCTGAACAGTCGAGGGTTTGATTACGTGAAATTAGGAAGAACCTCTCAAGGACTTTGTCAGATCATCGTCCAACGTCCATCGCGAAACGCGCGTGGAAGTGTGCAGATGACGACTTAAAGTTTCAGTGTTGCACGGTCAGAGGACTGGGCGGAGCTTGTGTCTTCCTTCTTCGTCTCTCCCCGGCTGTCCTGCATGTATCTCGAATATTGCATTTCATAGATTAGGTCTCTTTGTCAGTATCCTTTCATTGTCCCGTGACTCTTCTGGTGTTGTCATGATTCAGTGTCGACATGTAAAAGGGTCTCGCAAACGTGGAAGCCTAAGAACTTGTTATCTAGAGAACAAACGAGAAACCCACCTTGACGTCTATTCTTAGGAGATTTATGCATGGAGGAATTTTGTTAGCTCTCAAAAATGTTCCTTCCTTTTTACCCGTCACTATATGCAAATTCTGATCTATGGGTCCTGCGCCTTTTCACTTATTTGTATTTAATTAGGAGTATCCGAGGTATTAGGTATTCGAGACACACGTACAGTCTATTAGAAAATGTTTTGCAAGATACCGAATCTATTCGTTCCTTCTATAGCTTGGACCGAAAGCCACAACAGAAAAACAAAAACGTCGCATTAAAGGTATAGAGTAAGCAAAATCCCATATCGAGGAAGGAGCTGCAGAAAGCATAGGTGAGATCGCTAGTATACTGTACATACATTCACTCTTCACCGCATGCAATCGAGGCTCATACGAAAGAGAAAGTCCACGTTCCTGGGTTCTGCATCCTTCTCTTTCCGGACACTAGGATGTCGTACAATTGTTGAAAGAAAACACAGGATTCTCACTGCAGGAGAAACGATGGAAGAAGAACGCGATTGAGCGTGGACGATGGACGATTCTGCGTAGAAGATTTCATCCCTTCGCTTACTTTATTATCTTCTTTCTGTATGAATCCACTCCCACACAGCCAGTCTACTGATAACGGCTTATCTCTTTCTTCCCTCTCCCTGGAAAAAGCATGGCGTGGACGGGAAATGATAAATTGGACCTCGAAGTTATTTTTCGTTCTCGATTGCAAGATAAATGTCCTGAGGCACTCGGAAGTCCTTATGAAAACTGGAGCCTCATTAGCGCGAAAGAGGTGCCATGCGTTGCAAACAAGGGCGCATCAGGCTGTCATGCTGCGAGTTTTGTTTGCCATGTCGAAGAACGTTAAGGAGCTCCACCAATGCAGGTGATGCACAACCCGCATAGACCTTTTTTGCAGCCCTTTGGATGCCTCCGGTCTCCAAAGATCCAATATTTATTGGGTCATCCCATAAGTAGTGCGATTTTTCCGAGAAGAAGGCAATAAACCAATGAAATTGGTAATGGTATGTAGGTATGCATTTGAAATATTGAATAAATACTGATAAAGATACTAACTAGTCTTCATTTTCATATCACATTTTTGTAAGTGTACATCGATTATTCTGTCGCTTCACAGAGTTTAAAATTGAAGTGACAAAATAATATATTCGGCATGTTGTGCTGTACCAGTATAGAAAAGCAATGCAGATGGCTACCATAGATGAAGTCAGAACTGTATTGGAGGAGTTTTTCCAGTCCAAGCCAAGGAAATTTTAAGGGAAGGGTATAGAAAGTTTACCAGAATGATGAGAAAAGATTGTAGAGAATGAGGGAAAATATATTATTGATTAAAGGTTGTCGAAAAGTTGTCATATTTTAAATTTAAAAGTATAGAAAAAAAAACCGCATTGCTTATGGGATGACCCAATATTTGCAGGCCTATTTCCGCTCATATTTGAGGGCCTGTGGCCTTCGAACTCCTCGAACATGAGCTGAAGTCTCAATTTGGCCCTCAAGGTGGAAAAGGTTGTGCTCCATTGACCTAGGGGGATTTGAGTGAGAAGAATATAGACAGAAAACGCTATTCGTCACCAACTCGGATCACGTCCGGTTGGAGCGGATCTGAAACTGGAGGCCACGGCAGAACAAGGACTTCTAATACATTTTACCGGCATATAAAAGTGTTTCGACGTGTGATTAAAATGAAGCTTCACGTATATACATGATATACCGGCTTTGTAGAAAAAGAACGCGTAACTTTGAATTGCTACATCTTTGAGCTTGCTCTCGCTAATTTTTTTGAACATGCTTTCACATTTTACTTACTGTAGTAAGCGAACTTCGAGCTAACTTTGAAACCTCCGAAGTTCAACATTGTGTGTCTTTTTGAAATCTGGAGTGAATTTTGTTGCACTTGTGCTCCGGTTTTCGAAAGAGAAGAATGGAAAGAGACAAGAGAGGGACCGGAACGAAATCGGTCCCCGGGTGGGGCGTGTGAATTTGTCACCTGCTTCAATTAGGCCAAGTAGTAAGACAACCAGCCTGATTATGCGTGCTCACTCCTCGTGAAACCATTTCTTGGCTAGAATCATGGTGATAGCATAATTTCTTAAATTACAGGCTCTTCCAAACCATGCGGATCATCGAGAACATTTTTGTTATTCCTTCTTTCTAGTGGAGAGTATTGCGACGTCCTACCATCGTGACACCACAGAAGGTAGATATGGTCGTGAAGGCGTGCCGTGCTCTTCGCAATTATTTGGGAATGAACTAAATGAACTCAGAACTTGATTTTAAATGATTTCTGGAAAGAATGGGCGTTGCCAAGGTAATGCAAGACATGATGTTTAGGTCAGGTCCTCCTGCGTCCAAGGGCCTCTATGTTAGAGATCAATATTTTATTACATTGCAATATTGGAAAGGGGGAATACCAGGTATCAAAGGAATACGATGTTGACACTAGAAGAAAATCCTGATTGTTATAAAAACTCCCGAATTTCTTGTCAGCACAGTATAGCAGTGCACTTTTTGAAATAACTGCCTTTTTTTGAACAACCAAAGGAAACAAGAAGCAGAGAACTTCTTCTGAATCAACCATATGACCCAAAAGAATTATCTGGCCACGATTTCATTGCTACGCTGATGAAGAACCACATCCAAGAAGAGCCACATAAAACAGTCAATTTGTTGTGGTTTAAATGGAGATAGTAAGATGCAGAGAATAAAAATTATTGGATCGTGGAACTACCAGATTCAATTTGGTTTAGCACTTTCTCTTTTTCTCTTTTTGCGATACCCTTCCAAGTCTCATCATGGTCGGTGCCAGACTCAAAGCGTATAACATGTCTTCGTTTTCCAGGATTTCATCAATCTTCATGTGCTACGCTTTGGTTGGCCTTGTTGAAGCCATGTTGGTGGCAGATGATTTTTTTGAGTGAGGCTTCCGCTCTTTGGGATCCTTATATTGGGTCTCATCCTTTTTTCGTTGTCTCTATTGAAATAAAGTAATGACCAATTGGTTAACAGGTGAAGATGAAAGCTGTTGATATTCAGGAATCCGTTCTTTAAATGGAAAAGCCCAGGCAAAATCGTTATATAGATTCTCTATATAAAAAGGTCAAGAAGGTCATATATAATTATATTATTTTACCGTATTGAATTGTATTAAATGACTATAGAAATTCTATGGAAATTCTATAGAAACTATATCAAGAATCTTATAAAATTCTATAAAGTTCTACGAAGGCGCTTTAAAGAAATTCCAATGAATTTCGATCGAGTTGAATGAAGTTCTTTTATGTGACTGCATAAAAATTTTACAAAATCTATATTGAATTGCATGAACTTATGTATTGCCAGCGTATAAAAATAAATTATTGGAATCCTATTCAATTTCTTTGGAAATGAGAGGATCCCAATAGATTTCCCAAAGGAACATATGCAGAATTAAAGGCAGCCTTTTTTCCTTCGGCTGAACGAAGATTATCAAGAACTCCATAGAATGTTCAGTGCTTTTTAGGTTCTTATACGATGAATCTCTGATGAACTTCTGGAAGCATTATCATATGCAGGTGGAGAGACATGTCATAAATCGTAGTTGTGGTCTAGTCGGAACCTCATGGGGATCATGCATCGTTCAGCCATTCCGTCTCTCGTGGTGCAACTTGAGCACTCTGAGCACTGCCTACGTGATAGTATGCTTTCCGCTTGAGTGGTTCTTAGCCCCTTACCGTCGGACACCACAAGTATAGAGTCCTATCCAGGTTCAAGGAGTTGTCTATTGAATTCTATTAAACTCTATTAAAAACTCCAGAAGTCTATAGGTCTCTATATAATATTTTCGCTCGGGAGCTTTCTTTAGGCTCTGGAAGAATTGCACGCTGAAGACGAAAAATCTAGTGAGAGTAACATTCCCTTTTACCTTTGCCATGTAAAACCAGTCTCATTCTCATTGCATCTAAACTGCCACACATGGTTCTGGAAGTCGAAACTGGGTGTAATTTAATAGCCGATGAATTCATTTCACTTACCGTAGCACTGTAAGGCAGGCCTCCTGGGACATCAGTTTCACCAGGCATGTCTGCAGAATTGACATGAACTTCTCGATCTCGGAAACCGCCTGCGGATGCAGTACCACCACCAGATTTTTTCTCTTTCTTTCGTCGGTCATGCTTGACGCATAAGCACAGGTTCGAAAAAAACGTCCAAACTTTTCGTGGCCTCTTACTCTTCGTTTCATTAGTTTCGTTGCAAATAGATTGCGAAGGTGATGGTGCTTCGTCTTGCTCCGTGTCCCTGAAATATGAATGGTCATTTTCTGTTTCCACACAGCAAAGCAGAAACGTACAGTCAGTACACATTTTGTACGTTACGAGGGACAAACGTATGTCGTAAAATACGTTCGTTGAAAAGGTACAGAAGGTACACACGTGTACCTTTCTTATCTCTATTCACATCGGGCTTAAGGGGGTTCAAAAACTGGCTCATGAACCTCAATTGTCGGCTTCGAAGGGAGCTTTAATAGCCCGTCATCCGGCACCACGTCTACGACAGACAGCGACCTGTCACTGATAACATGCTGACAGCGTCTCCATTTCGCATAGGGCGTGCCGGCTGTCTCATGAACAGTCTTCTCCTGTTATCATGGGGACAGTAGGTAATTAGACCACCCTGTTTTAGAAGGGCAATCTTTCAAGTTTATTGATAGTTGGCCGCCCATTTCTCAGAGAGAAAAGACTCATAACCTGTTGGTTCACACTTCTTTTCCAGCCCAGTTTAAAATCCCAACTGGAATATTCCAGCTGGACCAAATCTGTAAATTTGGACCATTTCCAGCTGGCAAAGAGCTGGAAATAGTAGGTACCAGTTGTTTCTTAGCTGGAATTTTCCAACTGGAATGCAGCTGGTTTTAATAACTGTTTCTAGCTGGAAATTTTCCAGTTGAAATTTTATAAAGAGGACCCTACACCAGGAATGTAGCTACATTTACAGTTGAAAATCAGCTGTTTGTTTTTTTTCAGAGGTCCATCAACAAGTCAACAAAAAGATTCTCATTTAGCTAGTGATATAGCAATTAGGAACAAATCTGGAAATTAGTACTTTCCAGCTGTAACCCAGTTGGAATGGGTCCGAATTTACAGCTGGAGTCCAGCTGGAAATTATAGCTGTTTCCAGCCAGGATTTTAAACTGGGCGTACAAAACTCCAGCATTGAAAATTATCCAGAATCGCTGATTGCCATTGAAACATGATATTTATACTTTTACTAAATACTCCTTTACAAGTACAGTCGAACTCAGTTGTAACGTCAGGTAAAAACCAGGACCAGGTAAAAACCGTCGTTATAACCGAGGTTGCCTTTATTGCCACTCCTTTTTCCTGTATTCAAAATTGATGCTATATAACGTTACAACTCCAGTTTACATTGGTCATACTACACTAGCTTCAGTTTCAAGATTGACCCACTAATCGTGATGTCCGCACTTCTTTGGACTTTGAATTACTTTATACTTTATCAAGGCTTCGTCGATGTCATACCGACAGACCTAGGAGGTTTCTTGTTTTGTGACACGTTCTCGTAAACACGGATGAAGCTGTCACGATTTTCCCAAATTGTGGAAACAGATGTCTATGTTCGCAAGCGACGTTAGCTTCACTTCGAGCACTTTCTATTAAACTAATCAAACACACTTTCCTTTCAATCGTGAAGGCTTGGCTCTTTCGTTTTCCTTTGGCCATGTTGTCAACGAGAAATGCAAATGGCGACTGAAGATAAGGTGATCTTAGTTACTGGGGATTATCCCTCCCTAACATTGCTCCAGCCACACCCACATGACTCTCAAGGAACGCTGAATCCAGGAAATATAAGGTTATGGCTCGCCAACGCTAATTTTTCCGATGGACAGATTAGGGACATAAACGTTGTCGATTTCTTTTGTGGAACCTTCAATGGACCTCTTTATAACCGAGGTTTCGTTATAACCGAGTTCGCTGTAACAGAGGTAAAATGTAACGTGCCTTATGGGCTCTACGCCGGGACCTGGCGCTTTCGTCGTTATAACCAAGGTTTCATTATAACCGAGGTCCGAGTTCGACTATACTGTATTACGATGAGATAATACAGGGAAAGGAAGAAAACTCTTCTCCTAAGGTCTGGTGAGCCCTGACTGGAGTTCGAAAGTTTAAGGGAACATAACGCCATCTTATGCCTACTTTGAGTACTGCACTGAGAACCCGGACATCTGCGTCAGCAACCTAAACATGTGTACGTCTGGACCACACATGCAGACCCGAGGGACACAAAATAGAATAGTGGAAACGTCCAAAACCCTGGGAAACGCAGGGACGCAGTCTACAAACCGCATGGTATGTGATTGGGAAACGCCTGAAACTTAGATGCAGTCCCGTAGTAAAGTAGCATGACGGAATACCTGCGGATTTCACCTGAGCGGCGATCGCGATCGAATAATATTTTCTTATTTTGGTTCTTATAGTCAAACTTCGTCTTATGGTATAGACATAACATTAATTTGAAAAACTCAGTTGCTTCTTAGTCCTCCGTTTCTTCTCTCTCCCACATACATGCATGCAGATGCCCAGGATTGAACTAATTGAGCTCTATATAAACAACGGATATTGGGAGTCTGATGAATACCAACCGCTTGATGATGCTGTGACTATTGCTTAAGAATTACCTTTCTCTATTGGATTGTGGAGGGATCACTCTTGTGGGATTATGTGATTCAGCAATCGTCGGATTTTGTAGGGACCTGTCTTCTTTGTCCTTATCTGCTAGTCATCCAAGCATTGATGTCAGTGGAAGATGCAAGAAAGCACACCTATTGAAGAGATGGCAGATATTGTGGGATTACCTGAATCTCTAGCACGTGTTCCTGTACCTGTGTCCTCTTTCTTTCTTCCATGCTCTTCTCCTTCTGCCAGGTCGAGCCGTTCCTGGGCGGAAACGGGATGATTCCTCAGAATATCCTTGATGAAATTTTGAATACTTTCCATGGTCATCTTCCAGAGCAGTTCATTGAGGGAAGCCGTTTCTGTTTCTCCCTTCATTTCCTCGTCGTCGAAAGAGTCATCTTCTTTGTTCTCGTTCTCCTTGACGAAGTAGACAGAGCAGTTGACGGGGAAATGGTCCTTGAATTTCAAGCCGGCTTCTTTTACGGATTGTAGGACGGGAAGGCGTCTGCTGTCCGCGAATGTACAAAACAGATAGCATGTCTCACAAGTCTGTTCTTTTTCCAAGACTTTGGTGAAGTTTCGCAACACCATCTCTTGCTCTGCTGTCAATCTCGCCTATTTTCAGAAACAGGAAACTTGTCAGAAAATAAATAACCTAAATGCAAAAGATGCCTCGGAAATCCCTTACGGGCATAAGGACGAATACGAAGTATTCATGAAGGAATTCAAAAAGTTGTAAACTGTCCAGTCGGGTTAAATCAAAGTTCCAAAACATAAGCGGTCGAATCTTCCTGGTTCGCCTGCTGCAGAAGCGCCAAACTTGGAGTGACCAATTTTAATATAATTTCAAGCTAGGGAACCAGTAGAAACCTTATTTTTTGTTCGGAAAGCCTTGTAAAGGCGTTCTGAATGAAGTATATTTTTACCTATAGACTATAATGGGGCAGAAATACAAGAGCTAAAACAACCTGAGCGCTTGGAACAACGAAGATGACGGCATTCACGCCTTGCTTGTGATGGAGCCAGATAAAATCACTGATGGCATCCATCAACTTCTGATCCTCCTCGGGCTTCCCCTTAAGGAAGCCTGGGGTATCGATGAAGGTAACGGGAAGAGGGAATCGTTGACGGTCTCTGGTGAAAAAAGTGTAGGAGGAGATCTCGTCTGTGGGTCCCTCCTTCTTCACTTGGAATCTATAGGGATCGCGGAATCCCACTCCGAGTCCGTAATTCCCCAGCACTTCCAACAGCATTGACTTCCCTGTCATTGCAAATGATGTTAAAGACACGTTTGACCTTTTATTTGGAAAATCATACAGAATGATATGAGGGATGACCTGATCCATTTAAGCCGAGAAGTAGAACAGTGAGACATTCTTCGCCCGTTAGACCTTCACCCAGTTGGTATTGACCTGGCTCATTTTTTATGGACTCGAATGGAAGGCGGTTGGTTGGAAGGTCTTTGCCAGTGATCTTGGTACATCTCTTGAACAGTTCTTCGTGGATGTTCTTTGCCGTCTTATGCATTTGATACCTGATGCAGGCAAAGCGGAAAATGTGATCATGTAGATGTATGGAGAATTACGCCTAACGTTTCTATGAGGGGTGTTTACAAAGTTCTGGGAATTTCCTTCTATCACTGCGACGGCTGATCAAAGCCTATCGCAAGTTTAGTCAATCATGCTTAGGCTTGTCATAAACACGACTGCAAGATATAATCATTTGGGCTTGCTTCAGTAAGAAGTTGTTAGTGTTCGCGTAGGGTACACTGTTAGTCATGGAAGAAGAGGTAAGTTCTCAAATACCTCTCATTTTCTTTCTTTTCTCTCATTTATTTTCATGGAAGGAAGGTGTTTGGACCTCTGAAATTATTCAGCGTTTGAAAGCTGTTTTTGTGAATCTTTTGAATCTAGAGGTGCCGTCTTTCGCTGGATCGATCGCTTTTAGAATGGAAGAATGAGCCTTGAAGAGAACCTCCGCAGTGGTCGACCAAACACTGCTGTTAACGAAGAAAATGTCGCTGTGGAGAAAAAGTTAATAGAAGACTGAGGAATCACCGTTTGCGAGATTGGAGCAAGTGTATGCATGAGTTCCAGAAAAGTTCATGACATTTTACTCGAAAGTCTTGGAATGAGCAAGGTTTCTGCACGATGGGTCCCGCGCCTGCTAGGGACAGGACAGAAACTCAATCGTGTGGAGGTTTTTTCCGAGTTGTTGGCCCGACAGGAACAATAAGGGATAGTTTCTGGCAACGAATCAACACGACATAAGAGACCTGGATACCTTACTTTAAACCACAAACGAAGATTCAGTCCATGGAATGGCTGCGACCTTCTGATGGCCCTCCACTTAAAGCAAGGACTATGCCATCAGTTGGTAAGGTTATGCTAACGGTGTTTTGGGATTGCCAGGGAATAATCATGACTGATCATCTACAAAAGGTTCCACAATAAATGCATAATATTACTTTGATTTGCTGTAGGCACCAATGGGTGAGGTACTCGAGAAAAAACGGCCAGGAAAGCTCCATTCCTGACCATAACTGCAGCGAGACGATGCAAGTTCACACAATGCTCGTCTTACGAAGGCCGTTTTGTCAGATTTGAGAATTGTTGCCCCACACGCCCTATTCTCCAGTACCGGCTCCCTGCGACTATCATCTGTTTGGGGAAATGAAGAAACCTCTTCGATGAAACATTTTGAGTCTCTATCTGAAGTTAAAGCAGAGGTAAATGAGTGGATAGAACGTGCTCCATAGAAGTTCTTTGAAGATCGACTAAAAAAATTAGTTACTCGCTGGCACAAATGCATGCAGCTAAATGGTGATTATGTTGAATAATTGCACTGTAATATCGAATAAAATTAGCCTAATAACAACTTAGCACCCAAATTCCCAGAACTTTGTAAACACCCCTCGGACTTCGACTGGATCCTCGTCTGACGTCCAAGACATGGGAAGCGCGCACTTGAAGGCCTTGATTTTCAGAGATCCGAAATGAAGGGTCGTCGCGCGTCCTGTGAATTCTTTTTTTTACTCCCTTTCTTCCTAAAACCCATACATAATGAACATCCATCCATATTCCAATATCACAAAATAACTAACTTGTTCTCCGTCCTTCGCTAGTACTCATGATTATGTAACTTCTATATAATTATTCCCCTTTGCTATAAAGGATAAGGATTTGACCGAAGAGGAAACCTTGAGAATGTTTTTCTCGCTTATTTTCAGAAATGCGCCATGGCCTCTACCCGTGGAAAGGGCAAGGTCAAATTTTTTGGTGCCCAGTTCATGCGGAATGTTGCATTATCCTCTTGTTTCTGAAACGCACGTACGATAATCCTTCAGAAGGTGGTACAATTTTTCTTTTACGCAAGTAAAGTATCACAACGAGAAGTTCCTCCAACAAGAAACCATCTTCTAATTTCGCACACTTGTGTCATCTGTGACAAGGCTTCCGAATGGCATAAGCAATAGCTCATTTCAGTATCTCTTTGAGATTCAGGAAAGTGGAAGATACTAACTCACTATGGTGCTGAACGTGTGACCCCACGTTTTGGTAGGAAAAATTATTCCCTGGGAGAGAAGTCCCGACTGTAAGGATAATGTAGCTCTGGCTAAGCTCAGATTCAAAGACGGCTGCCATCATGATGGTGGCTGTGTGTGCGAGCGTTATCGTGCTAGGAGCACTCCATGCCACAATGTTTTTTTTTTCACAGTGCAGGCAACAATTCCCTCCCGATTAAGTCAGAATATATTTAACCTGACATTGACCCCCTGAGATATCATATGCATCAGAATGACAACTTCCATGTCCCAAATTATGACGTTCAAACTTTCCCTTATATTTTTTAAATAAACTAATACTTACGGGTGGATATTTGGAAACATCTTCATGGGCCCTCCCATATATGCTTATGAAGATTTGTGTTCTAGTCGATACTGTTAGTTCTGTCCAAAGAATGCAGGCGTAAAAAACATGTCTGATATTGCAAAAACTTAGTTCTTGTTAAAATAAGGGAAGAATAGGTCAGAGAGAGCTAGTGACAGAGAGGATACATGCTCCGAAGCTAAATAATGCATTTAAATGTTCAACATTTAGCGGTTTGGCTGTTAGAATTCCAAGAGACGCAGATACATTTACGATAACAGGATAATACGTTAATCTGACAGCATGAATGCATTTTCCCCTTTGCAGTATACGTTTAACCTCCGTTCGGCAAGCCGCGGGCCTACTTCACATCAGGTTCATGTATTGGACTTTTCATGTTTGGAGCATTTGATATTGTCTGCGGGTCATCCGTAGAATAATTATCACATTGTTCTTAATAGTAACAGCCAAGTATGATCTATTTTGTTTTGTGCTCTCAGAAACTTAGAAGGAAGCATGGAAGCGTTAGTCTGTCCCTTCAAAAAATACGTTGCTGCAGTAGGAGAAATGATTCGAACATAAAGGATCCTCACAGTTTGAAAGAGTCGGATGAATGTGGAAGAGTAGGAATACTTGAGCACCACGGCTACGGGCTTCTCCTCCTCTGCTGCGGAGATTTAATCTTTTCATGGACTTCCTTATCTTCGTCTCTCTAAAATGAATCCATTAGAGTAGTTCCAGTTTCCAGATAAAAGCATATCTCTTCCTCCTCTCACCCTGGAATGTGACGGCAAGAGCAACAGACTCTCACCTTCCGAGAATCATCCTACGCAATAGAAAACCAAGTTGCATTGGTGTAGATGTCCTCGGGATGAAAACGTAGGCTGATTAAGGTGGAATCCATACAATAAAGAAATATCGTGCATATTTATGTCACGCATTCACGTCCTTACCAGTAATAACCGCGTGGAAAGAGTTGTAAGGGATTTCACCTATTGGAAAATGACACAGACCACTCCTGAAAATGTCATGTTTCTGCTTGCAAGCGCCGCATTCAATTTCATTCAGTGTTGATGAACTAATACATCTGATGAACTAATACTGAGGGCTTTCGGAAAATGCCGGTTGTTCTGAAGTTTCTGGCCTGCTAAAATTAAGACGGAGACCATTTTAAAAGGAATTAATGGTTTTCACGACAGCCCATATGGCCAAGAGTACTCTAGCAATCAACTCCTACATCAATACCTGACATGACTTCCGCAGACTCATAGGAACCTTGGACCAGGGGCCCGAAGTTCTCAACCAACCAGCGGATGACACTCGTCGCATTGGATTCTCATTTCACTGAGAACCTCGATAATGACTGACCTGTGCCGAAGGTGTTTCGGTTGCTGAGGTCCAGACAGTTCATGGTAACTACTTCAAGACCTGAACTCTTGTCTCTCGAATGGCGCAGAACGCGAAGCCATCAGTGTCGCAGGGGGTTCCGTCCTGCATAATCATAGCATTTTCTTGGTCCGAGCAGATCAACCGGATCTTCATGTTGTCTGTGTATATCAGCAAGATATACACAGACATTACATTCATTGACATTACAATTACATTGGCTGACAGCGTTTAGGCATATTTCGTGAGAGTGGGTCAGAAACTGTTAGGAACATGCTGCATTCCTTAGTCGAAATATATATACGAGGCATATCCAGAAAAAAAGGTTACAAGTGCCCTGGAGGGTGCAGGGAATTTTTTTTTTCGAAGGTTGGCATACCTGCGTGTTGGGGGGTTCCTAACGGTCAAAATAAGCCCGGGACCGCGTCAGTCAGTTGTGAAATGTCGTCACAGCAAGCGAGTTCGTCAACCTCTGCTGAGGCCGTTTGCTCCACCTACCGCCGATGCGAGATTCGNGGTGCCCAGGCTGAAGAAGTGCATCGAAGTTGACGGCGATTATGTTGAGAAATAAACACATATTTTGGAACATACCCTGTGAATTTGGTTGAAATATATTCATTTTTCGATTTTTAACAGCTGTTGTAACCTTTTTTTCTGGATATCCCTCGTATGAGGCTCCTGAGCTAGAAACTGATGTTTTAAGTTTTGCTGACATGCTACTATTTCGCGCAAGCGACAAACAGCAGATTCCATGCTTTGTACTTCCTAATCGCATGGAAAGGATGCCCGCTTGTACTGGGTCCAGAGCTATAGCTAATATAGAGCGATCCTTTAGCCGTCTATCTTTAACCTTTAAGTTAGGGTTCGAAAATGATTCGTTAAGGTCACGGTTCGCAGGCCGCTGCTTCGTGAAAAATCCATCTGGATGGTGCGCGAGTAGAAAGACAGAATTTCTATGACAACAAAGAAGGTTAGGAAGAGTGGCTGGCAAATGCACATGCACGAGCTGTCTGCGGCCAAGATCCATAGTGGCGCCTTGCCCTTGTCGCGAGGGCCTTCATGTGCATGCGTCAAACACCTGGCTGCGACGCTGACAATTAAAATAAAACTGACATGGGCCCTAATCTCTTTTCCAAGCCTTTCTTCTTCGAGGAGAACATTTCTTAATCAGAACAACGAAAGTATTTGCTGTTTCTCCACTTGCAGTAGTTCTTTCCAAGGGCATTTATGGAATACCTGATTTGAAATCATATACATAATGTCGTAGCAAGGTGGACGTGGAACTCTTCTGGTTGGAAATACAGAAGTTAGTGAGAAAGAAGAACCTGCCAGACAGCTTTTTCCTGTCTTCTTTCACGCCACTATGACAGTGGTCGGCTCGGGGATATCGCTGGATTGGAATGCGGAAGACCGCGCGATATGGGGTCTCGCGATATGGAGTCTCATGCATTTAAGCAGCTTACTCCCTGGAAAGACTGCAGGTACAGGGTGGCCCAAAATTTACCTACCAAGTTCAATGCTTTATTTCACCCGAACGACGAAAAATCTCATTCAAAT